GAAGTTCTGATGGTGGAGCGGAAGGACAAGGGACAAACAGGGAGCCAGAGCCGGCAGAGTGGAGGCAGCGGGTGGTTGAGTTGGGGGTAAGGTCGGGAAGTGTGAGAGAGTGAAGGGATTTGAAAACGAGTGAGAGGATCTTGAAATCAATCCATTCAGTAATTGGGAGCCAGTGGAGCCTGGCGAGGACTGGGGGTGATGGGGAGACAGAGTTTTGTGGGGGTGAGTATCCGGGCGGCAGAGGTTTGAATTAATTGGATGTTGTGTGTGGTGGAGACCAGTGAGGAGGGCATTGGAATAGTCCAGCCGGGAAGTGACGAAGGAGTGGGCAAGGGTTTCAGCTGCATCGGTTGTGAGGTATGGACGGAGACGGGCAATATGGCGGAGGTCAGGGAATCACAAATGTGATCCTGGTCAGGGAACGGATGTGGGGTAGCAAGGAAAGCTTGCATTTGATATAGTGCCGTCTAGAAACATAGAAACAGGAGTAGGCCATTCAGTCCCTCAGCCTATTCCCCATTGTATAAGATTCTGTATCTGATCTGTACTTCAAATCCAATTACCCGCCTTTGCCCCATATCCCTTAATACCCTGACCTGACAAACATCTGCCCACCTCGGTCTTGAAGATGTGAATGGATCCATTTTAAAAATGTTAAAACCTCAATCAGATCACCCCCCAACCTTCTAAACTCAAGGGAATAGAAACCAAGTTTATGCAACCTGTCATCATAATTTAACCCTGGTATCATTCTGTGTGATTCTGCATTGCACCTCCTCTAGAGCCAATATATCCTTGCTGAGGTGCAGTGTCCAAAACCGAACAGTCTCCAAATGGGGTCTGACCGAGACTCTATATAGTTGAAGGATCATTTCCTCTCCTATGTAATCCAGCCCCCTTCAGATAAAGGCCAATATCCCATTAGCCTTTTTGATAACTTTTTATACCTGTGAGCTTGTTTTTAGTGATTTCTGTATGTGGACACCCAAATCCTCCATTCTTAGTTTCTCACATTTAGAAAATATTTTGTTTTGCTATTTTCGGATCCATAGTAGCTGACCCCACATTGAATTCCATCTGCCACAGTTTTGCCCACTTGCTTCATCTAAGTCCCTTTGTAACTTCCTGATCCCATCTACATGATTTACTGTGCCTTCTAACTTTGTTATCTGCAAATTTGGATATAAAACTCTCTATTCCTTCATCCAAGTCATTTATATACTAGATATTATATATATATTATATATATGTGGTGGAAAGCTGAGGCCCCAGTACAGACCCCTGGGGAACACCACCTGTCATGTCCCACTCTGTTTCCTGCCTCCCAACCAATTACTAAGCCATGTCGCAAGTTCCAATTCCATGAGCTTTTATTTTTGCTAATAACCTCTTGTGCTGAGTGAAGTTCTGTAGCTCTGCGATTAGAGCACTCGCCTTGCAAACAGGACACCTGGGTTCAATTCCAGGCAGAGGGCGAAACCTTGGGCAAGTTTTCTTACTCCACACAGAGCCTAATAATAATCCCTCCAAAACAAAACAATAATAAATTGGTCATTTTCAATCCACGACTGTTTGTGGGACATTGCTGTGCGCAATTGGCTGCCACGTTTCACCCACAAATATACAGTCAATTCACTTTACAGTCTATTCTGTAAAGCGCTTTGAGATGTCTAGAGGACATGAAAAGCGTTGTATCAAATCCAAGAATTATTATTATTATTGTGCGGAACCTTATCAAATTCCTTCTGGAAGTCCATGCAGACAACATCCATATACACTCTCGTATCCAGCATGTTAGTGATCTCCTCAAAAAATTAGATTAGATTTGTCAGACATGACATACCCTCCACAATCCATGCCTTGATTAGCTCATACTTGTCCAAGTGCTCAGTTACTCTGTCCCTGAAGAGAGATTCCAGTAACTTCCCCACAGCTGAGGTTAAGTTGACAGGTATGTAGTTACCTGGTTTCTCCCTCCCTCCCTTCTTAAATAATGGAGTGACGTTTACAATTCTCCAATCCAAAGGCACAATTCCCAAATACTGAGCTTTGGAAAATTATGACTTTTATCGCATCTGCAATTTCCTCCCCAGGTGCTATACAAATGGAATTTTGTGTTGTACTTGTTTTAATACTCTGGGGTGGAATCCATCAGGTCCTGGAGATTTGTCTATCTTTAGTCCCATTATTTTCTCCATTACCATTTTTATATTCATATTATATCCATTTCGTACTTCTCTTTGGCTTATTTTTAGGTTCCCTTTTACCGCTGGTATTTTGTCCTCTACTGAAAATAGAAGCAAAGTATTCATTCAACAAGCCTGCCATTTCCTTATTGTCCATATAGTCTCGCCTACAACAACAACTTGCACTTATATAGCACCGTCCACGCAGGGTAGCATCTCAGAGCGCTTAACATGGCAGAGCCGGAATCCGAGCCGGGGGGAGTGGGGAGGTGGCCATAAACACGGTCAAAGAGAAAGGTTTTTAAGCAGGTCTTGAAAAAGGGGAGAGAGGGGACAAGGCAGAGGGATTGAGGGAGAGCATTCCAGAGTTTTCGGGCATAGTGGCTGAAAGCGCAACCTCCGATGGTGGGGCGGAGGGTGTGATGGACGAGCAGGAGCCAGTGCCAGTCGAGCAGAGGCGCTAGGTGGTGGATTGGGGATTGAGGAGATCGGAGAGGGAAGGAGGTGCCAAAGAGTGAAGGGATTTGAACACAAGAGGATCTTGAAGTCAATCTATTCGGTGATGTGGAGCCAGTGGAGCCTGGGCCAGAGCTGGTGAGATGTGGGGACGGAGTTTGGTCGGGGTCAGTATGTGTTCAGCAGAGTCTGAATGAGCTGATCTTGTGAATGGTGGAGCTGGGGAGACCGGCGAGGAGTGTGTTGGAGTAATCCACGCGGGAGGTGACAACACATGCACAAGGGTTTCGGCTGCATTTGGGGTAAGGTACGGTCAGAGGCGGGCAATGTGGTGGAGGTGGAGGAAGTCAGTCCTGGTCTGGGACTGGATGTGGGGGAGGAAGGACAGTTGGGGGTCGAACCGGACGCCGAGATTGCGCACTGGTTCGGTGAGTCTGAGGGAGAGTCCAGGGAGGATGAGTTTAGATCCACAGAAGTGAAGACATTGACGGGAGCCAAGGAGTATGGCTTCCTTCTTGTCCATATTCAGCTGCAGGAACATTATCGATTCTAAATAAATAAAACCTACAATGCTCTTTAATGGGCCCACATTCCCCTTTACCACACTCGTTCTCTTAATATAAATATACAGTCAATTCACTTTACAGTCTATTCTGTGAAGAGCTTTGAGACGTCTAGAAGACGTGAAAAGCGCTATATCAAATGCAAGGATTATTATTATATTTATAAAAACTTTTACTGTTGCTCTTGATATCCCTTGCAAGTTTTTTTTCATATTCCGTTTGCACCTCTTATTATTTTCTTCGTTTCACTTTGTTGTTTTTTGTAGCTCTCCCAGTCCATTGGATTTCCACTTTTTCTTGCGTTATTGTAAGACTTTTCTTTTAGTTTGTTGCTGCCTTTTACCTCATTTGTCGACCATGGTTGTTGAACTCCACAAGTGGAACTTTTGTGTTTAGGGGTATGGACTGGTTTTGTATTGTACCAAATTCTTCTTTGAATACTTCCCACTGTATGACTGTGGGTTTACCCATTAACAGTTCAGCCCAGTTTACCAGTTAAATTATTTCTCATCCCTTCGAAGTTTACCTTGCTTAAATTTAAAATCTTGGCTTGTGACTCTCCTTCTCCCTCTCAAACCTTATATAGAGTTCAATCATATTATGGTCACTACTATTTGCAAGATGTTCCCTTACCATCAGATTGTTAACTAATTCTGGTTTGTTACTCATCATTTACGTCTCAAAGCGCTTCACAAAATATACTCTAAAGTGAATTGGCTGCATATTTTGTGGGTGAAACACAGCAGCCAATTGCGCACAGCAGCGTCCCACAGACAGTCGTGGATTGCGTGACCAAATTTGTTTTTGGAGGGATTATTATCCCCAGAAAACTGATCCGCCAATCGACTTACGACTGGGTTCCTGCTTACTGCTAAGTGAACAGAGGCGTGTGGAGTAAGGAAACTTGCTCAGGGTCCTGCCCAGGAATCAAACCCAAGCCCTCTCGCTTGCGGGACGAGTGCTCTAACCAATACACTATAGGACTCAGTACTGGGGCCCAGGCACTCATACATTTACCCAATCCTTTACCTTCCATTTGCTTTCGTTCCAAAGGCGTTTGACAAAGACCCCACTCTCACTCAGCTCCCGGATTGCTATGATGCGCTGCGAAACTCTACACTATGTGAAAAGCACTATATAAAAGCATGTTTAGTTGAGAAAGATTTATGGGGAGACAGGATTCCAATCAAAACCCAGATCTTCATTCCCCGCGCACCCCACCACAATATCAGCCCTCCAAGTTTAGATAGTTGAGGGGTGATTTGATTGAGTATTTAAGATGATAAAGGGATTTGATAGGGTAGATGCAGAGAAGCTATTTCCTCTGGTGGGGGAATAAAAAAGGGGCAAAGTCTTAAAATTAGAACCAGCCCATTTACGAGTGAAATCAGAAAGCATTTTTTCCACTCAAAGGATGGTAGAAATCTGGAATTATCTCCCCCAAAAGGCAGTGGATGCTGTGTGACACACACTGATCTGCAGCTCCCATTGGAAAGTTATTGTGTTTAATAGAAACTAGTGGAGGTGAATTGCGGTCTCGTCCCACACAATATTTCATTTAAATATAATATTTGCACTTGATATAGTGCTTTTCATGTCTTCAACACATCTCAAAGCGCTTCACAGAAAATAGTGTAAAGTGAATTGACTGTATATTTTGTGGGTGAAAGGCGGCAGCTAATTGCACACAGCAGCGTCCCACAAAGAGTCATGGATTGAGTGACCAAATTATTATTGTTATTTTTTTCTTGAAGGATTATCATCAGGCGTGTGGAGTAAGGAAACTTGCCCAAGGTTGCGCCCTGCTGGGAATCGAAACCAGGTCTCTTGCTTGGAAAGCAAGTGCTCTAACCACTGAGCTACAGGATATCATATCGTACTCAGCCAGGAGATTAAACTAAACATTTACACAGATGGCAAACTAGTGAGCAGATACCACCATTGTCTGAGTATTTTGTCTGAGGAAAGGGGAGGCGTTTTGCATGTCAGCATCGCAATCACTGGCCGAGTCCAAAGCAACATATCAAATAAACACCCTACTGGGGCCTAGCCTAAGATGTCATTCAGGAAAACCAATCGGTTGCATTTACATAAGAATATACGAATTAGGAGCAGGAGTAGGCCATTCGGCCCCTCGAGCCTGTGCTCCGCCATTCGATAAGATCATGGCTGATCTTCAGACCTAACTCTGATTACCTGCCCTCTCCCCATATCCCCTAAACCCTCTATTTTTAAAAAATCTATCAGTCTCAGCCTTGAAGATGTTCAAGGACTGACATCTACAGCCTTCTGGGGTAGTGAATTCCATAAGTTCACTACCCTCTGAGTGAAGAAATGTTTCCTCAACTCTGTTCTAAAAGGCTGACCCTTAATTTTCAGACTGTGACCCCTGGTTATAGATTCTCCTCCCGGGGAAACAGTCCCTCAGTGTCTACTTTATCAGCCCTTTAAGAATCTTATATGTTTCAATAAAATCTCCCCCAATTCTTCTGTACTCTAGAGAATACAGCCCCAGTTTATTCAGCCTATCCTCATAGGTCAGTCCCCTTATCCCAGGAACTAACCGAGTGAATCTACGCTGCACCCCCTCGATGGCAAGTATGTCCTTTTTTTAAATAAGACCAAAACTGCACACAATACTCCAGGTGGGGTCTCACCAAAGTCCTATACAGTTGCAGCAAGACTTCCCTACTCTTGTACTCTAAACCTTTTGCAATGAACGCTAACTGCCGTTCGCCTTCTTAGTTGCTGCTGCACCTGCAAACTAACTTTTTGAGACTGGTGTACAAGGACACCCAAATCCCTCTGAACACTAACACTATCTAATCTCTCCCCCTCTAGAAAATAATCTGTTTTTCTATTTTTGCTACCTAGTGAATAACTTCACACTTCCCCACATTAAATTCCATCTGCCACCTACTCGCCCACTCCCCTCGCCCATCTATATACCGTTGCAATCTTTTTGCATCATCCTCAGAGCTTACTCTCCCACCGAGTTTAGTGTCATCCGCGAATTTAGATACGTTACATTCAATGTCCTCGTCGAGATCATTGATGTAAATTGTAAATAGCTGAGGCCCAAGCACTGATCCTTGTGGCACTCCACTAGTCACATCCTGCCAATTCGAGAATGACCCGTTTATCCCTACTCTCTGTTTTCTACCCGTTAGCCACTCTTCAATCCATGCTAATATGTTCCCATTAATCCCGTGGGCCTTAACCTTGTGCAATAGCCTTTTGTGTGGCACTTTGTCAAATGCCTTTTAAAATCTAAGTATACTACATCTACTGGTTCCCCCCTATCTAACCTGCAGATACATCTTCAAAAAACTCTAAAAGATTAGTTAAGCATGACTTCCCTTTTGTAAAGCCATGTTGACTCTGCCTAATCTTGTTATGGTCTTCCAGGAATCCCATAACGACATCCTTAATTAAGGACTCAAGAATTTTCCCTACCACTGAAGTCAGACTAACTGGTCTATAGTTCCCCATCTTTTCTCTCCCACCCTTCTTAAATAGTGGTGTCACGTTTGCAATCTTCCAATCAATGGGAACTGTTCCAGAATCCAGAGAATTTTGGAAGATCAAAGACAAGCCATCCACTATCTCAGTAGCCTCTTCTTTTAAAACCCTAGGATGTAGGCCATCATGTCCAGGAGATTTATCAGTTTTAAGACCTGATAATTTACCTAAAACCATTTCTTTATTAATATTAATTCCTCCAAGTTGCTCGCTAACATTGTCTTCTTGGTTCCCCTCTATTCTTGGTAGGTTTTCAGTGTCTTCTAAGGTGAAGACAGTAGCAAAGTACTTGTTTAATGACTCTGCCATGTCTTTGTCCCCTACTATAATTCCCCCGTCTCTGCCTCTAACAGACCCACATTTACCTTTAACAGCCTCTTCCTCTTTATATATTTATAAAAACTCTTGCAGTCTGTCTTTATGTTCTTCGCTAATTTGCCCTCATATTCCATTTTCTCCCTCTTAATTTTTTTTGGTTCTCCTTTGTTGATCCCTAAAGTTCTCCCAATCCTCGGGTTTACTACTCATCTTAGCTGTTTTATAGGCTTCTTCCTTTAACTTTATACTGTCCCTAACTGCTCTAGTTAGCCGCGGTTGGGCCACCTTTCCCGTGGCATTCTTATTCCTCAAAGGAATATGTGCTCGCTGGGAATTTTGCACTATCTCCTTAAACGTCTGCCATTGCTGGTCTACTGTCAAATCCTTAAGTCTAATTTCCCAGTTTATTTTGGCTAAATCCTCTCTCATACCAGCAAAATTGGCTCTACTTAAATTTAAAACCTTTGCTTCGGACTTAACTATTTCTCTCTCTAACTTAATACTAAATTCCATCATATTATGATCACTTTGCCCTAGAGGAGCCTTAATTACCAATAACAACTTGCATTTACATAGTGCCCTTCACACCAGGCGAGCGTCCCAGAGTGCCAATAGCCTTGAGATTGCTGTTCCCAGACTGACACCAGCACGGCTGAGTGCGCAATGTCAGACACTGGTTGCTGCCGCTTAATTCCAGGTTTTCTCCACATTCTTAGTTCACAGGAAATATTCTCTTGTATTTAACTCTCATATCATTTTCTCAATGAGCAACTGGCTGAAGGCACTGGGACATGAACCCACACAGAGCAGAGCTGGGGTCTATTCCCAGTCTGTGCTGGGTTAGTACATCTCATCTACAATCTGCTTCAGTGCCCACTCCTGACCTGTGGGCCCTGCTGGAACCTGTATGCTCATTGGGAGAGGAACAGGCTCTTCACAAGAGATTCAGATGAAGGCCCTTCAGCTTATTTGATCCTTGGCTGGGTGGAGGGCAGATTTACCAAAATGGTACCAGGGATGAGGGACTTTACTTATGTGGAGAGAAGCTGGGATTGTTCTCCTAAGAGCAGAGAAGGTTAAGATTTAATAGCAGTGTTCAAAATTATGTGGATTTTGATACAGTAGATCAGGAGAAACCATTTCCCCTGGTGGGTGGGTCAGTAATCAGGTTACATAGATTTAAGATAATTGGAAAAAGAACCAGAGGGGAGATGTGAATTTTTTTAAAAACAGATATCTGTTATGGTCTGGAATGTACTGCCTGAAAGGGTGGTGGGAGCAGATTGAATAACAACTTTCTAAAGGGAATTAGATAAGTACTTGAAAAATAAAAATTTGCTGCGATATGGGGAAAGAGCAGGGGAATGGGACTGATTGGGTAGCTCTTCCAAAGAGTCAGCACAGGCACAATGGGTCGAATGGCCTCCTTCTGTGTTGTAATATTCTATTATCCTTCCACTAAACAACTTGCATTTATATATCACACCTTTCACACAGGTTAGTGTCTTGGAACAATAGCAGGTTTAATAATGGATGGGTGGGATCTGTAATTCACTGATAGTTCCAGAGGCAAAGTTCACAAATACATTTCTTACAATGAGATAGCACTGAAAAAAGCATATTAAAAGATGTAGGGAACAAGTAGGCAAGGGTGATATCACTTGAACTGAACTGGGTTCATGTCTAAATTCGTCTCAGGATTGGGATGATGCTAGCAGAGAGAGGATTCAATGCGTGGCCCTATTTCCATGAGGTGGTGATGTTGGGCTTCTCTTTAAACAGCTGCAGTCCTTGTAGCAGTGGTGATCGTTAGGGAGCTCCAAAATGTTTGATTCAGCAATGGTGATGTGTTTGTCATGTAGGGGAAAGCACCAGTGAACAACCAGTTCTATCACATTACTGGATGTTTCATGAAATGGGTTTGAAAGTAAAAGCAGAAATTGGATTTTAATTTGACAATCTTCCTCAAGAGTGAGGGATATAGGAATATCATTGCTGCAGGGAGAGTGTTCCCCAATCCTGACCCGCATCTCCAGTCTGAAACACTGACTGTCCAGCATCTTGGGAAGAGCTCCTGATGTGAAAGGCCCTATACAAATGTAATTTTGCTGTTGTTGCTGGAGGCTGGGGTCAAGACACATTGTGTAGATCATACTTGCATTTGATGTAGTGCTTTTGTTTTGCATCCACTCATACCTTAGTCTCTCACCTTAGACCTGAAGATGGATCTCTCCCCCAACCGAACCCCACCCACCCCAAATAACCTTCAGGTTAAAGGTTAAGAATTCCCAGTTTTTTCAGTGGAATTGGAGAATGGTTATCCAACACCATGTTGGTTATCCAACACCGCAGATAAGAGTGCACATGAACCCTATCAATACACAAACTTAGAATGCACTGAGCGTCATGATCAAAAGGCATTCAGAATGCACATCACTGACTGGAGTAGTAAGAGACCTCTCTCTCTCCCCCGCCCACCCTCCCGCTAGGTGGGGAGTAAGGAAACTTGCCCAACATTTTGCCCTGCTTGGGAATCGAATCCAGGTCCTCTAATGACTAAGCTACAGGACTGTATAATGAAGCAGAATTCACAGACTGACATAATATTGTCACACAGTAGCTATTTCCAATTGCAGGGCTGCTTACTATTTTGGCAGCGCATTCCTACTAAGTCAATGCTGTGAATGTAACCCACAAGGTGATTTTATTAGTCACTGAAAATTCATCAGTTTGGCCAGTCGATACTTTCAGTGTTCAGGGATAAACAAAGCAGGAATCTCCCAATAATCAGATTGTGATTCAGTGCAGTAACAGGCCTTAGGGATGGAGTCTTTCTCCATCCTTTAAAAAAAATCTCTGCACAAATGTCTTGAAACACAACTTTGCCATAAATGTGTTTCACTCCAAATCATTGCAGGTCATCGCCAACATTATACATGAAAAGCCAAGTGAGACCTCAAATTGTACCAATGTAAGATTGTAAAATTGGTAAGTGCTGGACAGTCCCAAATGTAACAACTTCTCACAAAATATCAACTTGTGACACAAAACTGCTTTTGTGTGCTGATGATAGGAAGCAATAATTACTTGGGATATTCAGACTACCACAAATTGTCAATTAGCAGACTAACCTTTGCATTAGTTAATTGAAGCTCACAGGAAACGCACACATCAATATACACTTCATTCAGATAGATAGTTTCCCATTGCCAAACCATTACATTCTGGTGGCTACAATCTAATCTGTGCAAGTATACAGTAGAGCCACTAACTAATGGAGTGAGGTTAACAACTGGAGCCATTCAGAATCTTATTTTGATGCCAAGATTTCCTGGAAGACTGAGTTCCCTCCGTCAAAGCACTATACTTTCCAAATGATAATTGCAAAGTGGCCAATAAGGTGTGAATCTAGACGGCCAGATATGAGAGCCCTGAGAACAAATTACATACAAGGCAATGAGCAGGACAGGTAAGGCACACACTGTCACCACCTGTACCCAAACATCTCTCGGTATTTTGTATATGTGGTTTAAGAATCGGAGATACAACTGCAGCAAAACAAAATACTAGTTTAATAGAAATCTAGAACTGAACAACTCTTTAGTGAAACCAAAATTACCAGGGATATCATGATAAACCAGATGAAAATTCACTCATTTCCTATCATTCTTTTGCTAAAGCAATGCACAGTTCCAGTACACACCAAACAAAATAATGGGGGGGGGGGGGGGGGGGAGAAGAGAAAGTTTCCTGTGCCCTCCTAAGTAAATACAATCTGATCAAGTCTCCACGGGTTATTTTAGTTGTGATTACGTCACTCTTTTCTGTAGGTTGCAAGTAGTTTAGGAAATGCAGAGGACATCTTTTCAATTTGGAGACATCTGCTGTGTTAACCAGCTCAAGTGTTCAATGGAGATGGCACAGGGCTCTCCCCCCCCCACTGGCCATCCTGACTGAACTTCAATTTTTTAAAAATTAGCCCCCAAAAACTGTCTGGAGGATTAAACCTTTCCCCAGTTGCTCATGAATTGCCTGTCCAAATCACTATAATGATAATCCTTGCATTTGGTATAGTGCCTTATCATGTACACTGTAAAGATACTAATCAACTAAATACACTAAACAAAACTGGTGCACTGATTGTGACAAGAGTTGCTGTTTACAGGCAAAATTTCCTTACCTATTCTCTCACTGGTGGCCACATTTAGAGAAGTGAAAAAAACAGCAAGTACAGACGACAATTAATATGACTTTTCTTTAGACAGAGAGTTCAAATCCTCAAACCAATTCCTGTCTATCCAATCGTTCCCACTTAGCCCATCAAATAACAGATTTCAGATTTACTATATTGCTCTTCACTGTATTCACACACAACACTTGAAGTTAAACACAGCAGGCAAGAAATGCATTATTTGCCTCTTTATATATAAATTAAAGAAAAAGCAAGACAAAAGGTTTACAGCTAAACCTACAGAAGCTATTTCCTTTATTGTCATGGAATGCATTTTATTGACAAAAAGCTGCAGAGGATAATGATATATGTACATCGTGTTCTTTTACATAATGGTTCAGAGTTCAAATATTTGCCAACTGATCTCACCAAATAGCTGTAAAAGCAAAATTCATCAGTCTGCAAATTACAAAGATAATCTTTAAACGCAACTGGTGCTGATACAAAGATTTCAGCAGTAAGTACCGCCAGGAACCCTGATGACAAAGAGCAATGCCGTTCGTACAATATGTGGCTGATGTGGACTGTAACATTAACCCACTGAGCAGACTTTGAATTCAGAACATTACAGAGCTCAGCTTGGCTTTACCCAAGATAAAAGTATTCCAGTAATCTTAAGACCCAATTTGTATGGCAGAAGACAACTTGCTCGCCAAGTAACTAGAAGAGACATCACCCAGGTACGGAAACCAATTGGTTCCTCCCCACCCCACCAAAAATCACACACACAAAGCCACAGGGATGAAAAATCTCATGTCCTGGGACCTTTCACAGATGCTCAGTGGAGAAATGCAGTCCTTTCTCACTGTACAGTGGTGTAGTGAGTGTAGACACGTCACATCTCTCTCTACATCATTTGCAAAAAACATCAGGAAAACTCTTCAAAAGTCAAACGGGTAAATTTGTATTAAAAAAAACATCAGTTACTGATTGATTTATTTTGTAGGTTTTACAAAAACTTATGGATATGATACAGTAGGATTGTTGATTACCAAGTCTGTACAGCATTTCTCAGCACAGGGCACGGCGGGACTACCCAGCTCACATTTGCTTAAAAAAAATTTCAAAATACAGTACTAGTTGTATTAAATCTCCACTAGTATAGCATCCGGATCCAAATCATTGAACTTTGTGCCAAAGAGAGGACGTGCCAGTGGGACTTACTACTTAAACAGATCTGGCTTACAAGAATTAATTCCACTCAATTTGTTAGAAAATTACTTTTTTTTGTATATATGCCGTTCACAAACAAACCACATGAAACATTTTTTAAAAAAAAAGTATTAATGCAGAAAGATTACCACCAAGCATTAAAAGGTTGGTTGTGGCCAAATCCTAGAGCAAAAAAAAACACACAAATCTACCTGTAGTGGTCAAAATAAAAGTACGCACATTGCTCTGTGAACAATCTGGCAGCTCTTGCTGTGAATGAGTTGCTAGGTACTGTCACCAGCAGGTAAACATCAACCCTTGGGCTATTACATTGGTACAAGTTCACGTTAAACACACAAGTGGGACAACTTAACCTGCGATATACTGTACATGTACAGAGAGATCAGAATCGGCTGGCTGCTCACAGATTTTTTTTCCATATCAAAAAAAGGACTGTTCAAAACAAAAAGGCTCAACATGCACAACACTAAAAACTCATTTCAACTGATTTACACGCTAGTTGCTACAATTCCACTGTCTAAATGGTAAAGTCAATGCAATACCCACATGCACAAACTATAATTCATGTCACTTTGGAAAAAACTACCAATCTCAGCCTAACTTTGATTTGCACCATTTCTATACGCAATTCTGTAAAACTGTCTCCAGGTATAGCCGGCACTGTCAGGCACAGACCCAGCTCCCATCTCCCAAATGTCAAATCAGGACGCCAGAACTAAAGTATAAAGAATTGGTAATAACAAAGGGACCCAACTATAACATTATCTAATGTGTATCTGTGCTGAGGCTTTAAGCTGGCCAAAATGTACTAGCACACTAACAGTTCCATGGATCTACACAAAGCCCGCTTTTGTTGGGTCTACATTGTCAATGGTGTACACTTAACTATTTCTCATTTGGAATCCAGATAGCCTGGACCAAGTCTCTTGCAAAGACTTGTAAGTTAGAGGCTAGCGGAATCTCAGTCAACCTATTGGTTTAATAACTGTACTAAAGGCGACCAACCATAGAAGCCATAGTGTCACTTCATATTCTGGTCTATCCCAAGACCAGTTTGACCTTCCTCGATCCTATTGGTCTGTCACTGAGGTCGACTACAGCTGACATTGCTTCATCGCAGGATTCGAATGCTACCATGGCTTCCCCTGTAGGCATGCCCTGCTCGTTGAACTGCAGACACACTGAGTCTGGAATCACACGATATCCGTAAAAAAAATCTAAGATCTCATCCACTGAGACTTTGAAGGGCAAATTCTGAACTTTCACCACAGTCGGGCTGTTGGGATTCAAAGGGCCGCCTCCAAAGCCAGACTCCATTCCTGGTCCAGGGAAGCTGCCCACATTGCTGCTTCCAAAGCCAGGCCCTCCCAATGGCCCCTCACCAATACCACTGCCAGCCCCAGGTCCTGATCCAGGCCCAGGCCCAAATATACTGCTTGATCCCCCAAAGCTGCTGCCAGGGTTGAATAGTGGTATGGGGCCATTAAGACTATTACCTGGATTGCCACCTGACAGAGGACCTGGGTCTCCTCCCACATTCTGAAGGAAAGGAAGCTCAGGACCCCCTTGACTGGGAACCTTTTGGCCTTTGCCTTGGAAAGGGGGGTTTTTCTCCATCTCGTGCTTTTGCTCGAGCGTGATGAGCTGGACAAATGCATTGCGGCCATTCAGTTTCTTGCGGTGGAGTCGCTCGGCTTTCTGGGCTTCCTCTTCAGACAGGAACTGCACCAACGCCTGTCCTAGGCCTTGCCCGTTATTGTCAGTCAGAATGTGGACCCCATTTTCTGCTAAGCCAATGCCTTCCAAGAACTGGAACACATCACTTTTGGTTACGTTATAGGGAATATTCCAGATGTGGCCACAAACCTTTGGGCAACCGATTGCTTCTCCTTCAATCTTTACCATATCTCGCTTCTGTTCATTTTGCATAAAACTGTGGGTTCTTTTATGAATCATTTCCAGCTTCTCTAACATTGCTTTTTTAGTGATTGGGTGAACCTGGATGAAACGATTGCCCATGTACTGCTTGTGGCGGCACAAGGCTGCTTGATAATCAATGACAGTCTTAAATTCCACAAAGCCTTCTCCAGTTGCTCTCCCATTTGGTCCATAAGCTATATAGATACTGTCCTCAATGAGCTCTAGTTTACTGAAGAACTCCATGATGTGCTTGTTCTCAGCTTCATAAGGTAAGCCTTTCAGATAGACACAGAACTCCTTGTCATGAGGAGAACGGGATCGTGACCTTTCCCGCCTGCTTGGGGATTCAGATCGAGACGTGTGAAATGGCGGCTGGTTATGTCCATAATGGCCTACGCTTGCTGGTGGAAGGCCCACGTGTTTGGTTAGACTGAAGTTAGATGTGAGGTTCAGCCACTGTCTCTCTGTGGCAGGGAACACATTGGCAAATCTCTGGCCCATCATCATCTTTCCGTGCCGTTTCAAAGCTTCAAAAGTGTCAGAGGGACCATAAAACTTCACAATCGCGTCTCTATTACTGCGACCCAAGTGGTCTTTCATCATGTGCACTGCATCAATTCTAAGTCCATGAAAAAAATCCCTCACATCAGCCTCAGTGGCAGCATATGGCATTCCGTAGAGATGGATGTACAGGTCATCGGGGTTGACTGGAGGGGGTCCTTTCAATGAACTGTGGGAATTCATTGGGTTGATGGGACCCAAAGAACCCAAGGGGCCCAGGTACATGGAATTTAAATTACTACCAATCCCCACTGCAGACCCTGAGCCATTCATTCCACTGGGGCCAGTGCCTCCTAGAGAAAGACCGCTACTTGTATTCATAGGCATGGGTGGCATGCTTGGCATCGGAGGTATAGGTGGCATTGGAGGAATAGGAGCAAGAGGTGCTATAGGTGGAAGGGGGGGCACTGGTGGCATTGTTGGCATCACACCAATGGGAGGAATTGAAGGCATTGGTGGTAGTGATTGTATTGTAGGTAAAGGAGGAAGTGGTGGCAAGGGGGGCACAGAGTTCATTGTATTTAATGGTGGCATAGTGCTGGGCATTGTTGAACCCATGCTAAACCCTGGGCTGCTGAAAGTGGGGTTGTGGCTTGAGGGTGTGTTTCCCATGCTGGCAGCAGAAAAGGTGGGCACATTTTTATTACCCATGCCTTCATGTATTGAGGAAGTAGTAGTGACCAAAGTTGGAGTGCTTAGGTTAGATATGGTAGAAGGCAAATTCCCCCGTCCACTCATACCAGTATTACTAGGTGGCCCAGGTCTGCTCGAGCCCACTGGTGGCATATCCACATTCCCTGTCTCAAAACGCCTTCGGCTCAGCTCAATCATGTTTTGCATTTCAGTCTTACTACTCAATAGGAGTGAGACTTTGGAGCCTTTAATAGTCCCCCCACTCCGCATCATCCCAAGCCGGGCATCTTCATCTGTGGAGAAAACGATGAAAGCCTCACCAAGTTCACCACCTACAATATGCACGCCACCATCAGGAATGGTCAATCCAGAGAAGAAATGGCGGATATCCATGGTCCCCGCCACAATGGGGAGACCCTGCAGGCGGATGACCACGGCCATGCTGAGCCCAATCAACAACAACCACCTGCAGATGAAAAAGGCACGACTATGTCAGACGAGTTAGCAGAAATCCAGCTCAACCAACATTCAGAATTTAACAGTGTAAGCCGTCACAAAACATACAACAAATTCATTGCTTAGGACAACTAGTTTTAACAAGGCAATGTATTACTCAAATCCAACTCAAATATACAAATACCCAAGCTTTAATATAATCACAATTTAATGCAGCAACCAAAAAATTAATGCATTTCTCTTTAATCTCCAACCTCCTAAAAATAATCTTTAAACTACGCAGATGTGCAATATTAGATTTGAATGCAAAAGAAAGCAATTTGGAAACAGTCAACCACAGCAAAAGCAAAAATTGCCTCAAATTTTAAAATCCCTCCAGCCTGCAAAGGAGTACTATATTATGAATCCATTTTCATACACAAACAACTGGTAGTTAGCAAACTCTCACATTAAGTTTGGTAGATTTTCTGAAAACACAACAGCCAATTCTACTATTTCCAATGAAGATAGGACCACGCCAGTGGTTTTACAGAACCATTGTATTCGAATAGCAATGTTGCAGCTGAAGGACGGTCAAATTCAACATGCCAATCGTGAACACTTCACACGGGAGCAATTGTGAGCAAAAGGCTATTGCTAAATTTTCAATACAGACTTCAAATAGCAAAAGAAACTAAAAATGCTAAGCTTAACCCCAAACGGCACTAACCCAAATACTCATGCCTTTTTACTAAATATTTCATTAAATGGTTCTCAATTTGGCGAAGCTCCCAGTGAGATGATAAATCTACATTTCTACTTCTATTCACCCTTACAGAAGAGAATCTTACCTGTAACCAAAACAGTGGCGTTTGTTTCCCTTAAGATGCTGAGGACACCAGCCAATCCTGTTGCCAACCAATTTAAACCAACTTTACAGACTGCAGAAAGAATAAACGGGATGACAAATCAATGTCGGCAAAAGGCAATGCAATCAGATGTGTGGACACAAGCGTGCCACCAACATGTTGCAGCTCACTGAATGAGCGCAAAAACAACATTTCAGAATTCCTCACAACATTCCCAAATGATACAACATTTATTACAGGGTTTGACTTTATCCACCCAAACACAAAGCTCCAGAATTAAGTTATCAGAAAAAGTACAAAAATACACCACATTGTACAGTAATTTTGCTGTTATGGTCTGGAATGCCCTGGAAGCAGATTCGATAACAGCTATTAGATCTCTCCACTGCAGTCAGTAACTAGGTGCTGTAATTTGGCACAGCAATTCACTCAGGGCAGCAAGCATTGGAATATTTTCATGGAGATGTCTATTAATGGTATCTATTGAAGATATCCGGCCTAACACTGTGCTGTGGACCACTGGAATAGAGGTTGGTTTTGGTGGAAAGCAGGGCTTATACTCCATCTTTGTCACTATGGGATGTATCTGGCAGATTTTCAGCAGGTTAGAAAATGTATTAGAAATTGTACACAATGTTGGGCAAGTTTCCTTACTCCACGCCCTCCGTTTACCCAGCAGTAAGTAGGAACCTGGTTGTTAGTTGATTGGCAGACTGCTTTCCAGGGGTAATAATTCCTTCAAAAAATAAAATAATGATAATAATTTGGTCACTCAATCCACGACTCTTTGTGGGACGCTGCTGCGTGCAATTGGCTGCCGCGATTCGCCCACAAAATATAGTCTATCTACTTTACAGTATATTCTGTGAAGCGCTTTGAGACGTCTATAAGACGTGATAAGGCCCTATATCAATTGCAAGGATTATTATTATAAACAGCCTCATTTGGATTACATAGATTACCAAACTCCCATACAGGTCAGTGTGAATGCTTGGCGGGGTCTGCAGCTCTGGATAATCTTGAGCAGCATGCTCAATGGGAAATGAAAAATATTGATGCTTTGTTACAAGTAACATTGAGAATCTGATACTGAATCACTTAATCTCGACCTTGCCACCACCATTTCTGTGTGTAAACCAAAATCACACACATCAGCCCTTATAGTTGAAATACTTCTAGAAAGATCACCTTGGTGAAGTTTTTGTACAGTTAACTTTCACTAAAAACATTTTAAATGTTGAGGGGTTTATTTGCAGCCAAGAAAACATTGTGAAGTATTTCTCCCATTGTCTTGGCCAATAACAGATAAGATTAATCAATCACTTTACAGGAGACATTGCTGTGCTCAAATTGGCTGCTGTATTCACCGGCAAAATAGTCACTACACTTTACAGTAAATTGTGTGAAACGCTTTGCAAAGTCCTTCCTACATGAAAGGAGCTGTATCAGATGCAAAGATTAATATAACTTATCAAAGGTAATGTACTTCAGAGCACAGGACAATTTGCTCAGTTACACAGCTTGATGCTCTACCTTTTCAATCTTTAGCAGGTCTAAGAGAAGTTGCTGAAAAGAATGGCATGAAAGCGATCATTTCGTCCACAAAATATAGTCGATTCACTTAATAATATATTCTGTGAAAAGCTTTGAGAAGTCTCAACGACGTGATAAGGCGCTATATCAAATGCAAGGATTATTATTATTTTCTCCCCACTCCCGCTGACTCAGGTTTGATCCCTGACCCAGACTGAGGTAGCCAATGTCTTGTTTTATAGTTGTAACGCTTCCTCTGAAGGGAATCTGTAATCAATTAATTCCTGTACAAACCTATTCACATACACCAGGAATTTGCTTGAATCTATGATCATAATTCTTTAACACTTGATCAGGATTTCTATAAACTTTCTATCACCAGTAATTATCTGCTACACCACAAACTGCCCAAATCTGTGCGCAATTGGCTGCCGTGTTTTATCCACAAAATAGTCAATTCACTTTACAAAATATTCTGTGAAGCGCTTTGAGACGTCTCAACGACGTGATATGACTCTATATCAAATGCAAATTATTATTATAATAACCTGCTACAATTTTAAATTATTTCAAATGAATGGATGGATATTTATTCTTAATCGGCAACCACTGCATCTGCAACCAGATCATGAGGAGTTCTATACTTAAAAAACTAATACCGACTGACCATTTGAATCATTAAAAAGCAGATCACCTTGAAACAGGCAAAACATATCAGGATTAAACCTGGGGAAATTGACCAACTAAGTGCTGGGAATCAGCACACACTCTGACTCTGAGACAACTCAGTAGAGACACTGGGAAGAGGATAAAAAAAGGCCTTTGTTTCAGGAACAAAGTATGGTTACCCATCTACAGCAAATTCCTCAAAAGTTTCCCATGCGCTGGATTTTCAATGATCACGGCAGCGAGCATTATAATGTGTAATTAATACAAAGGATGGTGGGAAACCTGTTCATTGACATTCACACATCTGTAATTCAAATCCTCTATTGTGATTGTATCATATAATCTGTTTGTATTGACTTTTAGCAGGTCTAAGAGCAGTTGCTGAAAGAATAGTATGAAAACAATCTGGTGAATTCTTTCAGAGCATTGACCATGGTTTCTGGCTGCTTTGCACTTGTAGTGCAACCCAGCAGCCATGAAAGTCAAACTTGCAGACTGAACTATCACACAGTATGAGCGCAGAGCTGGAAAGAGACGTAAGAAAATCCTGTCACCAGTTGCTGCATTAAGTGGGACATTAACCACTGGAAAAGTCGCACCTAATATTAAAAGGTTTTATCTTCAGAATGTCACCTGATGGAAAACTGTGGCCTCTAGGAGAATATACGTGTCTTTAACATTTAAATGCAACATTAAGTGCGACTTTTTGGTAAATAAATTGTCACATACAGTCTATGCTTCTCACACTACTCAAGTCCCCTTCCTAGCAGTTCGACCAAGGAGAAACGCTGGTAGTGTCCAAGCAGTGGTTTGCCAGTTGGATTGCCTCATGCCTCAGGCTGAGAATAGCATTGAGCCCAGGATGACCTGAGGGTTAAAAAAATAAGGCAAAAATTACAGTAATTTAAAAGGAGACAGATTTTTAAAATATGTTTTGCTGATATTTACACAGAGAGAAAAATAGGACACGCTGTCTAAAGGCCTTGCTTTACTCAAGACCTGGCCAATTCCCTCCACTTACACACACACCACATCCCCCTCTACACCACCCTACAGTGGACTGTTTCTTCTCCAAGTCTCCCATTTCAGACAACTGACAATACAATTGCTCGCTTGGTAAATCATGCACCACCCTCAAATCTAATTCCCCTGCTTGAAGGGATCGGGCATGTCTGGTCTTTACTATGGAGCGGTCGTCAGTGCAATGAAAATCAGGAACTTTTCATGAGAGGAATAGTGCCTTGCACCCAGCCAAGCTAGAGCTTCAGCAAGCAACGTCAATCAAACGGATGTACATACATACACTTTCCCACATACATTTCAGAAGGAAGTGGTCACATAAGAAAACAAACTGTAGTAAATCACCACACACAATACAGCTTCAAAAATATTACATAAATGTTTGTACTGTAGTTAGAACATGGCCACCCCTGGCCCATAGTTAGAAGAATACCAGCTCTGACCACACACTGACTGGTCAGAGCACTAACTGTAAAATCCTTATACAAACCAATGCAGTCACAATGGGACAAGAAAACTCAGTAGTACTGAGCAGTACCAACGCTCTCAGAAAGCTCCAAACCACATAATGAGAAAAAATTGTAAAGGTGTTTTAGTTTCAGAACTTGATGTACAATTCCGAAGCAGAGCACAGTTCCATTATTTAACAGAACACACCACATGGACCAAACCACTAACAGCACATGCTTGAAAACCTTTCAGAAGAGATACTCGACCAAACAGAAACATCTCAATGGGAATCAATTGAGAAAGAAAAACATGACAGAAGAAAGTGTGTCATTGGCAGACTTTAAACCAGGTCAACATAATTATAAATTAGATTCAACTTATTGCACAGATTCAAGGATTTATGTGTACATAAAACCAGCGAGATTGACAGAAGGCTTTGTGTTCAGTTTGAACAGCAAAACAAGGCACATTACAGGATCACTCCAAGATTCAGCATTTTAAACCAGGAATCCCTCCAATCCAGATTGCTTCATTCTCAAATATTTCTGAAATACGTCAGCAAACAGGCAGAAAAAAGTCATTGCATTGCACAGAATACAGAAAAAAAAGCAAACACTCCTTGTTCACTCAGGAACATTGTCATTTCAATCCAATTAACCGACAAGGCAAGTAATAAGGATCGCTATAAAGTGCAGTATAATAAAAGCTACTTTATCAATTCATTAAACTTGTGCAAACTAATTAATATCCACCAACAGAAAAACAATCAGCCAAGGACCTCACTGCACAAGCTCCAAATTCAGCAACATTTGATCATAATAACTATTGAGAAAGCTGAAACCAATATTCTCATGCGGCCTCAGAAATGTATCTTTCACTTCCAACAAGAAGCAATCAATTCCAAAGAATCCAGACCGCATCAACAACAATAACAAACTGCATTTGTATAGTGCCTTTCAAGTCAACTAATCTTCTCTCCCATTTCCAGGCCAAGCTAAACCCAAACCAGCATCTTCTCTCCCCTCCTGACTCCCACTGCAAATTACATTTTTTTAACGTTTGTTCCACATATTTTCAGTTGTACGTGGTGCTTTACTTAGCAGAAAACACTGTAAAAAAAACATTGTAACATTGTTAACCATCCAGGCAGCAGTTGGACATTGGGTTATCCAAAATATTACTTCCACACATCCATCTCATCATCCAATGACACTGCGTCCTTATTGCACATCAGGGCTGAATACAAACAAACCAGAGAGATCAAAACACACGGTGCATTTCAAAACAATGAGGCATTTCCCACAAAGCAAGCGAATATTCCACTCATTCATAAATCCTGATCCTTACACAACCTTGCTCAGCAAACCAGTTAAGCACTTAAGCTTTGCAGCTCTTCACAACACTCCATAGCCTTTGGGGGACTTAAAATGGGCTCATACTATTTTCAAACCCTCCGTTTGTTACAGAGCTGGATAACTGAGAGAAGCAAATCATACATTTTCCTTATGACAGAAATGAAAGAGCAATCTTAAAAATTAGGAACAGATTGATGAAAAGACCACATTGAAGTACAGACATTCTTACCCTCGTTTCATAAAAAGGCAACAGTGTAATTTTAATCAAAATCATGAGAACAAGAGCAAAAACATCGATTTACTGTTGTAAATTCTGAGAATATACTACATGCTCATATTCCACATCTAACCACAAATACTAGCTTGATTTTAAATTGCTGTATCAGGCAGACATATTGAAAGAAAATAAAAGTACACAACAAATCCCACTGATTAAAAAACCAAAGGATTTCAACACCAAGATCAGAGCGATTAAAAAGGTCCACAATCCTTCCCAGTTCTCTCCTTCACACACACCCAACAAATATTACTGGGCCTTGAAAGGTATAATAAGATATTTACAATATATTTTAGCTAAAACATTATGAAACACAAGGAATGTCAAGCATTAGGAGTCCCTTTCTCCACGTCAGATTCCACCCAAAACATTCTGCAAGACACTCTTATACAAGCTTGCATTTGTGTGATTGGATTGAGTCTGACTACTGTAATAGGATCTTTGTACTCAATCACAGCCCTTTGCACAATATACAAAGATGGAGATGAGCAGCAACAATGAATGCATTTCCTTTCTTTTTACGGTATTTTCAAAGAATAAGGAAGGAATGACAAAAGTCAATGCACTTGTGAACATGAACATCGACCATCAAATTAAGTGAAATATTTTCTTTAAGATGTCTCGAAGGAGTGATATGGTGCTAGGATTAATATTATTATATTTGGAAAAAAACAGATTATAACTTTGGGGGGAAAATGTACCCATTGACAATTTCAGTAAAAGGAGTTAAATTCAATTGGCCAATCAAGGTCCCTGGATATTTGACGGCTTGTGACATTACCAGTCCTGAAACAGGTCTGCAGTGGGCCTGACAACTGAGGGATTAGTATATTCCGTAACTTGCAAGTATCAAAAGCTGATCCGAGTGCAATCCTTTGTATAAGGTCAACAGCAGCAGCGTGCTTCTGCTTCCTGCAGCAAGAGTTGATGGAGGAAAATTTAACATGCTTGAAATAAAGAAGGAATTTGGAAAACCACAGGATTTTTAAAGAGTTTAAATTTTAAGCATACATTTCAGTGATATGCCTTCACTAACTTCATCTAGCTTTATCAAAACCACTAGTCAGCAATTTAAAGGGTAATTTGAATTTGCGTCCTTCGATGGAGCAGAGCAATCTTACAAATAATTCTTCTGAGCACACCGTACAAGTCATCTCCTTAAGGTTTACTATTACAGTTCCTTCTATAATGCTACATTTGCACTTAATAATAATAATACATTTGAGAGAGTGGGGAGTGGAGCCAGCTTGCTTACAGCAACAAAACTCGTTATGTTTTCCTAGGAATAGCCCAGAACTAGACGTAGCATGTGAGTGTAAAGGTTTGCTTTACAGCAGACAATGAGAAAGACACTCCAAATTTTGCTTCCAGATTTGTGCACCAAATCAACTCAAATTGTGCAGAATCATTTAGCAAGTTACCCGAGATCCCAATATAGATGTCAACCTAGCCCAGGGCTCCAGATTGCACAAGGGAACAGGCACTTCTTACACAGCTGTTCCCTCCTCAATCCACTTGTACCATACTGGAGACAAGGGAATTCAATCATGTCCTTTCTTAGATTATACTTAATGTACTTCTAAAATTGCTTATTTATTCTAGTTTTGTTCCAGTAACTAATTCCTGTGATTTCAGCAGATTTCTGATATTTCTGAGCCCATTTTTCATTCATCATTTATCTGTACAATGGTTCTCTCTCTGAAAGACAGGTTATCTTCCGTAAAATTTACGATTGCCTGGGAATTCATCAGCATTAGAGGATTAAAACTGGAGCATCACTTCTGGGGTTCCCAACAGTAATGTCAAGCCTCCCCACCCAAGTCTTTCACAGAATATTAAAGCGTTAGATATTATTCAAAAATAACACTATGGAAAGATTCCACTTTTTAAAAAAAAGGTGAATTACAGGTTGGAAGGAAGAATAATTATCCACAACAGCTACTGTTCTTCCCTTCCATGCATATCAATATCTTAAAACAAAGAACTGCAAGACTGACGGATTTTTTTTTGGTCACTCAACGCACAAATGTTTATGGGACACTCTGTGCACAATTGGCTGCCGCATTTCACCCACAAAATATACAATCAATTCACTTTACAGTATATTCTGTGAAGCGCTTTGAGACATCTCGAAGACGTGATAAAGCGCTATACCAAATGCAAGGATTATTATATTATTTTTAATATAAAATGTCAGAGAAGTCACCTCACACATCATGGTCGCCTCTGGACAGTCCATCAAAACTGATAATTTAGGACTCAACAGAAAAATTGATAACAATCTTTAAATAATTAAACTGTTATATATATACACAAGAATCTGCACAACTAGCATTGGCATCTATCAAAACTGCTGCTGGGACAACAAATTCCGACAATAAAAGAAAACTTTCCCACAGGGTTCCACATTGCAACAATGCATTAAACGAAACGTCACCGCAAACAATAACTCTACAAACCAAGAGTTAGCTGAGATCAGGTTCCCTGAACAAAGAAAGTAAAATGTTAAAGATACGAGGACACAAATTGAGTGTTATACACAGCAGAGGCGAACCAAACTATGCACAAAACCCCAGGAGTACAACACATTTCACTCAACTCATATTTCAATACTCCTCACCTTTTCTCTAAAACTGCACATTAAGAGCGAGATTGTTTTGTACCAGGTACCGTGTAACCCCTTCCTTTTATAACTTGCACAACCCATCAAGTCCACGTAACCCCAAACACTGCCCTGCGCACTGGCCCCAAAATAAACCTGCATTTCATTTACTGTGCCGTGTGAGGAGGGGGGGAGGGGGGCAAACAGTGCAGTGAGGAACCCCAAAAATACAACACCCAAAAATTCAGTCAAGACGCCCACAACTCGTGAGGAGATGATGGACAAGTTACTGGGGGGCAGCACAAAGCGCTTTACCCATACAGTCACTACACTTTACAGTATATCCTGTGAAGCGCTGTGAGGCGTCTGGAAGACGTGATCAGGTGATCAATACCAAACGCCGGGGATGATTCTGACTGTTATTAATGAGATTCTCAGCAGATTCACAGATGTTCTTCACTATAAAGTGCTGAGACCCCGACCCCCGACCGAGCGGCTCCATGTTGGCTCCAATCCCGCCCCCGCGCCCCGGCAGACAGGCCCTGCCCTGGGCAGGCCCTCAGCGCGAGGCCCAGGCCGAGCCCGCGCCCCGCCCCGCCCCGCCTCACACACAGCGCGGCCCCGGAGCCGCTGAGGCTGAGGCCGAGCCACGGTCCCCGCTCCCCCCCCCACCCCAGCAGGCGGATGACCGTGGCTTACCGGCGCTATGGGGGGGGGCGGAGGCTACAGAGCGGAGAAGTTACCGTCTTCACAGCGGCGGCTCCGCCTCACAGCGACTCACAGCACAACATGGCGGCGCTCCCAGCAGCCACCGCGACACGGCCCCCCCCCACACACACACACAGCCCCCCCCCACACACAGCCCCCCCACACACACACACAGCCCCCCCCCACACACAGCCCCCCCCACACACACACACAGCCCCCCCCACACACAGCCCCCCACACACACACACAGCCCCCCCCCCCCCCCCACACACAGCCCCCCCCCCACACACACACCACAGCCCCCCCCACCACACACCCCCCCCCACACACACACAGCCCCCCCCACACACACACACAGCCCCCCCCACGTGTGGGGGGGGGCTGTGTGTGTGTGTGTGGGGGGCTGTGTGTGGGGGGGCTGTGTGTGTGTGTGTGTGTGTGGGGGGGGCTGTGTGTGTGTGTGTGGGGCTGTGTGTGTGTGTGTGTGGGGGGGGGCTGTGTGTGTGTGTGTGGGGGGGGGCTGTGTGTGTGTGGGGGGGCGCTGTGTGTGGGGGGGGCTGTGTGTGTGTGTGGGGGGGGTTGTGTGTGGGGGGGGCTGTGTGTGTGGGGGGGGGCTGTGTGTGTGTGTGGGGGGGGTTGTGTGTGGGGGGGGGGCTGTGTGTGGGGGGGCTGTGTGTGTGTGTGGGGGGGGCTGTGTGTGGGGGGGGCTGTGTGTGGGGGGGGGCTGTGTGTGTGTGTGGGGGGGGCTGTGTGTGTGGGGGGGCTGTGTGTGGGGGGGGGCTGTGTGTGTGTGTGGGGGGGGGCTGTGTGTGGGGGGGGGGCTGTGTGTGGGGGGGGGCTGTGTGTGTGTGGGGGGGGCTGTGTGTGGGGGGGGCTGTGTGTGGGGGGGGGCTGTGTGTGTGTGTGGGGGGGGCTGTGTGTGGGGGGGCTGTGTGTGTGGGGGGGCTATGTGTGTGGGGGGGGGCTGTGTGTGTGTGTGGGGGGGGCTGTGTGTGTGGGTGTGTGGGGCTGTGTGTGGGGGGGGCTGTGTGTGTGGGGGGGCTGTGTGTGGGGGGGGGGCTGTGTGTGGGGGGGGCTGTGTGTGTGTGTGGGGGGCTGTGTGTGTGTGGGGGGTTGTGTGTGGGGGGGCTGTGTGTGTGTGTGGGGGGATGTGTGTGTGTGTGGGGGGGTTGTGTGTGTGAGGGGGGGGGTGTGTGTGTGGGGGCTGTGTGTGTGTGTGTGGGGGGATGTGTGTGTGTGGGGGGGGGCTGTGTGTGTGTGTGGGGGGGGCTGTGTGTGGGGGGGGCTGTGTGTGTGTGTGGGGGGGCTGTGTGTGTGGGGGGGGGCTGTGTGTGTGTGGGGGGGCTGTGTGTGTGTGGGGGGGGCTGTGTGTGTGTGTGGGGGGGGGCTGTGTGTGTGTGTGGGGGGCTGTGTGTGTGTGTGGGGGCTGTGTGTGTGTGTGGGGGCTGTGTGTGTGTGGGGGGGGCTGTGTTTGTGGGGGGGGCTGTGTGTGTGTGGGGGGCTGTGTGTGTGTGTGGGGGGCTGTGTGTGTGTGGGGGGCTGTGTGTGTGGGGGGGGCTGTGTTGTGTGGGGGGCTGTGTGTGGGGGTGTGTGTGTGTGGGGGGGGGCTGTGTGTGGGGGGGCTGTGTGTGGGGGGGGGCTGTGTGTGGGGGGGTGTGTGTGGGGGGGGGGCTGTGTGTGTGGGGGGGGCTGTGTGTGTGTGTGGGGGGGCTGTGTGTGTGTGTGGGGGGGGGCTGTGTGTGGGGGGGCTATGTGTGTATGTGGGGGGGGCTGTGTGTGTGGTGGGGGGGGGCTGTGTGTGTGTGGGGGGGCTGTGTGTGTGTGTGTGGGGGGCTGTGTTTGTGGGGGGGGCTGTGTGTGTGTGTGGGGGGGCTGTGTGTGTGTGTGGGGGGGGCTGTGTGTGGTGGGGGGGCTGTGTGTGTGTGGGGGGGGCTGTGTGTGGGGGTGCTGTGTGTGTGTGGGGGGGGCTGTGTGAGGGGGGGGCTGTGTGTGTGTGGGGGGGGCTGTGTGTGTGGGGGGGGCTGTGTGTGTGTGTGTGTGGGGGGCTGTGTGTGTGTGTGTGTGTGGGGGGGCTGTGTGTGTGTGGGGGGGGGCTGTGTGTGTGTGGGGGGGGCTGTGTGTGTGTGTGTGGGGGGGGCTGTGTGTGTGTGTGTGTGGGGGGGGGCTGTGTGTGTGTGTGGGGGGGGGCTGTGTGTGGGGGGGGGCTGTGTGGGGGGGGGGCTGTGTGTGTGGGGGGGGGGCTGTGTGTGGGGGGGGGCTGTGTGTGTGGGGGGGGCTGTGTGTGGTGGGGGGGCTGTGTGTGTGTGTGGGGGGGCTGTGTGTGTGGGGGGGCTGTGTGTGGGGGGGGCTGTGTGTGGTGGGGGGGGCTGTGTGTGTGTGTGGGGGGGCTGTGTGTGGGGGGGGGCTGTGTGTGGTGGGGGGGCTGTGTGTGT